GAGATCTAAGCGAACATCGCTTATAACGTACTAAACGTATAAATTGAAACTTAATTTTTAAAAATGCGAGGTATGAGAGTACACCAAATTCATTTTGCCTATTACATATCGTGTGCGAAGTTATTTTATTCCGTAGTATGTATGGGTGTGGCTGTGTGTGTAAGAAAAGTACGAGAAGGAAGGGCAGAGGAATGAGAAAGATGTGGGGACCGTGAGTATGAGACAAAGGCGTGCTGAGTGAATGCGGTGCTGGAGGAGTCGAAGGTATGCGAGTATAGTATATTATTTTTTTAATTAATATAAGGTGAAAACAAAGTTAAAGTGAGTAAAGTATGGCCGAACTACCTCCCAATAATGCAACACACATGGTATACAAGGTGTCCCTGAAAGATATGTACAAGCAGACACCAGATGATTCCTCGTAAAAAAATATGAAAAAATATACGGTAACTTTTCTTCGTTTAGGTCTACGTTTTAGAGAAAATAGAATTTGAAAATACATTTTGAATGCTTGACAAGGAAGAACAACTTTGTGTACAATTACAAGGACGGTAGTCTCAATGATTCTGTAACTGAAATAATAAAACTGTCCTGGTAAAACATTTCTTTGTGTTTTTTCTCAACTCCATTAGCTTGTTAGTGCTGTATGAATATTATTTATAATTTAATACAATAATATATTTTACGATAGGTGTGGTAATAGTTACATAGATTTTTAAATATATATGTATTGCAATGAGTAAATCAAGTATGCATGGGATGGAAATATTTAATGAATTCGGGTTATTATGATAAATGAGTATGCGTGTAATGATTGAGGTGTTGTGTGAATTGTGTATATTAATGTAATGTATGAAAGAAGAAAGAAAAGAAGAGAGTGATTTGGCATATGTCAATTGCAATTGAGTATTAATGGAGAGAAGAAGTGTGATCATGTGATAGTAATAAAATAATTATATTTCAACCTAACATTTGTGTTTCACAATCTTTGTAATTAAATAAATAATTGTTTTTATTGTTATTAAATTTCATCCACTACTAACAATAGGCGTTATACGTCGCTCGATGAACCGTATTCCGGTAGTAAATGCGTATATATAAAAAGATCTTTCAAATTTGGACACCCTGTACAAAGAGGTCTCATAGTTAGATGATCAGCCTCGTAAATCTCTAATTCAGAGTCACTAGAGCAACCAACCGATAAACATATTCTAGTCAAACTAACTTACTCATTCCAGCTTTTACTTTAGGATGCAAGTTTGTGCATTTAGCAACCAGAATTATTCATTTAGTAACAAAGGGCTCTGGTCATCTCTTCCCCGCTAAACGTATCTTTGCCCTATATACGCTACCGTCCGAAAATTTCGGTACACCTCAACCTTTAAAACCAAATTGCGGGCTTGAATATTTCACCATATCTTAATCGTTGTACGATATATACACGATCCTATTTTATCTTGCTTGAGTAGAAAGAAAGATACATCGGCTTCCTTCAAGAAATACGCTGCTTTGATAGCAGTTTTGATAATCCTAAAGAATTTATTTAGGATGATCTGGATCGTGAAATCAGGAAACATCGTATAAGGACCAAAGAAAATTTGTTGGAAAGATATTCGATGAAACGTACTAACTGAAAAATTACAAAAGCTTGTTTCAAAGACATTCAGATTATTCAAAATACTGATGAAGAAAGGAGGTACAGTCAAATCTCCTATAACGCGGTATTTTTATAACACGATTTTTATATAACGCAGGGCGAAAATTGGGACGAGCTCCTATAACGCGGCCACATAATGCGTTTTTCGTACAAGGACATTCCAACAACTCAAATGGCTTGAAAAGTTTATCGATGGCAGCACTTATTCCATGTGTTAATAAAACAATCTAATTGTGATATCTTCGGTGTATGAACCAAATGATAAGAACGTCTGAATTCTGATCAGACTGAATCGGTT